CGAACATTTGCCTCAACCCAAGCAACAGTTATAGTGGGCAGGGGCCAGTCAACCACCAGTAACGTCAGTTCAGAGATGTCTGCGTAGGGCGATGTGTGCCGGCACAAGATCGACAAATCGATTAAAGCCCAGGCTTCAATTAATTCGCGGCCTGTCTTGCTGCCGGCGTGGGCGATTATCTTTGCGGCTGCGATATTAAGTTCGCGACCTGTCTCGTAGGTGTCGGCAGCCACTTATGATAGTGTGTCACCCCCGCTTACAGCCAGCTTATGTCTGTCCTGTGTAAGTTCAAGGTAAGTTTAGGCATGGTATGCGATACACTACACCCGACTGCTCACTGGGATTTTATGGGTCCTTGATTTTCATCACTGGGCTGCGCATGACAGCCGACGCGTAGTCCCACAGCAGTGCACTCGGTCGCTTCCGCCACGTCCTTGATGTATAACAGCGCATGCTATATCGTACGGGCTAGTTCTGGTTGAGCCCACATAGGCGTCGGCTCATGAAGGCCTTTGGATAGCCGTTCCGCATAAACTGGTCGCGGAGATATCCGGCCTCACGTGCTTTTCCTTCCTTATTACTGCGGTGAGTCTGGATTCTTTATGACAGTGTTCTCATGCAGCTTCGTTTGTGAGTTACCGGGTGCTTTCTGTGAAAATTGAGAGGCTGTGCGGTGTTCCGCGCCTTTTTGTAGACCGTTGTTTCTATTTCGCCGTTGGAGGTTCGAATGATGAGCAGATCAAGGAAGGGTAGCTGCTGATCCTTTTTCTTCCATCATGAATTGTATATATGAGAAGATCGACTTAAGGAGATCACGGAGATTCTGCAACGTGTTCCTCTTGACGATAATAAACGTATCGTCAAAATGACGGCGCCAAAAGATCGTGGGTTGTATTTTGAAGGCGATCTCTTACAGGTCTTGTAAGACCAATTCTCCTACTAAATCGTAAATTGGAGAGCCCGTTGGAGTTCCCTTGATCTGTTCATATGTTTCTCTCGAAAAAGTGAAGTAAGTCTTTTGGCAAAATTCGAATAGCCTCATTAGGTGTTCACTTTTGAGCGAATTCTGGGTTTCGTCGTATAGTTCCTCAAATTTTCTGCACAAGACGTCTTGTGCCAAATCCGGTGGGATGGATGTGAATAATGATATCGCGTCGAAGGAAACCATCCTTTCATCCGGTTGAATCCTTGGGTCATGGACGTCTGCTAGGAATTGGGAGGCTGTACGGACTGAGGTACTTGAATTATCTTAGAAGAATTTTAGTTTCGAATCCATCCATTTTGCCAAATTATAGATGGGGCTGCCTCTTAGGGCAACGGCTGGCCGCAATGTAACGTTCGGTTTGTGAACCTTTGGCAGACCGTTAAAGCTAGCCAGGGTAGTATCTGTTTCATTAAGCGCCGTCCGTTCTCAGTGATCACATTTTGGCGTTTGAATTCGCCAAGTTATTTATTCAACCGACTTGCTATTGGTTTGCCATCTGAGTTCTGTGCTGGTCTGTAGAATTATCTGTCATTAAGTAGAATTTCGGCCTTCTCATTGTAGTTATCTCGATTCATTACGATTATTGACTGTCCCTTATCCACAGGTAGAATGATAATATGATAGTATGTTCTATGTAAATTCTATTTTGGCCTTTTCCTCATTGACAATAGCGTTTAAGCCAAAAGTAATCGCATGTCGACAAAAAGGGAAATAGTAAACTAAACGAATTGGACAGCGTCATACTTGGGAACGGCCGATGCCAAATTAGTAAAACAAAGCATGCCTACCGCTACAACGTATGTAGACAGTTATGCGAAACCTAAGGTGTAGTGGACCCTAAATATAACTCATCAAGGCTTTTATCAGCAGCCTTCCATACATGCCCTTTGACCACTCTAAGCATTTTCATAGTTCTACATATATTGCGGTCTGATTTTGAGTCCGAAAGAGAATGAT